GATATAGAAATTCAAGTTTTATACGCATAATCGTTTGTGCTAAAGCCATCTTCTTGATTTATCTGACTAGATAATGACTTATTCAACCGCGTTAGGATAGAAACAATTAGCGTTCATATTTGATTTAGATATAGGAAGCTTTTATCGAGAGGACTAGCTAAATGTCGCAATTCGGCAATTACTTGTTTCAAAAAAATCTGAATTTAATTAATATTGATAAAATTAGGAGTAATTTAAATTAAGCACTAATTTTTATGGGTAATCTTGACAAATTTGTGGCTGTTAATAAAATTTTAAAAATAAGAGTGGGAGGTAATGGGCTTCCTGTTCAGATATCTCTTTACATATGCACAAGAAGGCTAAAATGGCTTGTATCTCTATCGTAGATAAGTCTTGGATCTGCTACTGCGGGTCCGCCACCGATATGGTTTTCCTTAAAATAGACTATATGGTATCTTGAAGGTTTTCGCGCCTAGTCCCAGCTTAACCTTGCCGACTAACAGCGTTCTATTTGGTTATGCTACCCCGGTGAGGTTTGAGATCTTTTGTTGGGGTTGTTAAGGCGTTGTGGATTCACTATTAATTTTGATAAGTACATTATTCTCCTGGCCTTAATCCATTACTTGATTTATGCTAGAGGTCCAATTTATGTGAATTTTTCATACAAACTGTTAATCTCAATAAAATTTTATCATCTTAATGTTAACAGAGAAGAGTATACTTCCCTGACAGCCGATTTAGCTTGGCATACCAATATTGTGGCCACTCGAACTGGGGAGCGGTCTCCTAAAGAGAATAAGGAGCTTTACGACCTTGCTCTTCGAGGCTTGCAATATCTTTCTGGCTGGTCAGTGCATGTTCTAGATGCATTCACCTGGCGCCTTTCCCATCTCGCTGACGAGCATTCAAACCCTAAATGCCCCAAAGATGCTGAGGATTATGAAAAAGTAAATTCCTGGCTATTAACTTTTTTTCTTTTATCTATACCATATCTTTGCTTGAAATACGATTTGTTTATCCCATCTCTAAATCGTGATAGGGATCTTCATCTTGTTTCACTTCGCTTTTACCTAGTCTATTTACTTTATCGAGTTTAGAAGTGGATTGACCTCGTTTTTGCAACTTGGTTGTGTTGTCAAGGCGGCTTAGTCGGACGCTTCTTTTCCGAAGTCCTCTGCTATATTAGGTATCATAATTCCCAGCGTCGGACCTTGGACATGGTACATTCTGAGACTTTTCGCCGGCGTCACCAATGAGTCCTGCCATTCTTTTCTCCTTGACGAGTTGTAGCTTGGTGCTGAGAATGGCAAGACTCATTGATTATGCCAACGAAACGTCTGAAAATGTACCGAGTCCACGATCCGACGCTGGGAATTACGATACCTTCTATAGCAGATGACTTCGGACAACGTGCGTATAATTAAGTCCTCATAACAACACGATCAAGTTGAGAAAACGAGGTCTGCCCATTTCTATACATCGAAAGGAGACTGCGACCATATCGAAAGTCACACCATCTTAGTTTTCATGTCTTTTATTTAGTTTGTTTACGCAATTTAGTTATTCTTTCAGGACTGATGGGCGTTCCCTCTACATTTTTTTGTTATCTTATATTCTAGTGGATATAGTATGTCACTAGATCCATTCTTATAGTATGTAAATGCGTCATTAATTTTTCCAACATCTATAGATGTGTAAGCTTATGATTTAGTTTACCATCATGGTGACGTGAATCTTAGCCTTTTGTATACGCGGCTCATATATATAAGGGATTAAACCACGTATCCAGGACAAACTCGACTTAAAGGATTACAAAGGAAACAAGGCGAGCAATTACCCTTTTTACTTAGATCGAGTACAAGTAAACATTCTTTAAGCGTGCATCCCAATTAAGAAATCCTATCATGATGCACGTTTGTGTGTGCTTGGCTTCGGCTGAGTTCGATTATACCGCTCGCAACGTATACAATGTTCTGACTATTTACTTTAAAGCTACTGTGGCTCCTAGTGTTTACATATTCACGTATAATTGTCAAAATTCTATATTTTGCTATTAATCTTTTTAGGCTACTCGTTACAACTACAGCGCCGAAGAGCGGTTTGCCCTAATTGAGATTGTTGCCATGATTAAATCGGTACAGACACAGCTGCTCCGCCTTGAGCCCAACTACGCAGAAGCGATCCGTCGATCTGTTTATCGAGACTTGCAGGGCATAGTGCTTGGTCAGCTCAGCGGGCCCTTGGCCAAAGCTCTGAAGAAAAAAGATAAAATCAACTTGCAGCGCCTGATATATGCTATACAAGCCACTTGTGCAGATCAGGTAAGCTCTTGTAAAGTTTTATTTCCTCCTTCCATGATCATATGAGACTTATAGTTTTATTTATACTGGCCATTATTTACTGCCACTTCGGCACACCTTAGCCATGAGAAAAGTCGTCTTAATGTGCTTGCTCATTTTAACTAATTGGTGGTACATTTCGTACACTTAATTGGAAATATATTAAGAAATTTCACGCTTTCCCCATCCTCAAAGATTGAATATGATCACTTAGACACTTTTCTCCTGACGATTAGGTATGATTCCAACTGGATGAGGGTTAATACTGCTTCGTTTACTACATGGAGCTTTGTGCTTTAGCTGCAGTTCATTATTAGATGAGTTAATCATATTTCTTCGTGGTTTATGTTGTAGCTTACTTTCTAA